AGGGTTTATGATCAATGACTGTAAAAAATATGGACGACGCGACAGCCCTTTTTCCCATTGAACGCCTTGAGGGCAAAACGCCTGCTTGACGGGCACAAACTGTCGCAAAAGACTGCTGAAATTGGAGCCAGACATGCGCAGAAGGACTGTCTGATGGAGCCAGAGGAGGAGCCGCGAAAATGAGCAGAGTCGAGCTTCCAATCAAACGCTTTATGTAAAATCAACTACGCCCCCCGAACTTCTCAGCATGCGTTTGCTGTCATATCAACACAAATGGATGTAATAACGTTAACAAATATGAGGGTTTTATATATTCAATCGCGCCAGCTCCAGGCCGCAGCGCATAACTTACTCGCGGCGTCGCGGGCTGATTCCGGCTCGCATGCGGCAGCGCCTGCTCGCTCGGCCGCCGCATCTGGCTCGATTGACTCGGGCTGGAATTGGGTAGTGAGTCCAGGCATCCGGAGTAGGTCCAGCAGAGGTAACATTAGTCAGTCTGAGCTCTAAGAGATAAGTCTCCGGCAGGCGAGAATCTAGCCGGAACTGTGTTTTGCTATCTGGGTGGCTAGGCGTGTATCAGCAAACTAATAAAGCCCGAAAAAAGCCCTGAACTTAGCGAATAAACAGTGTTCCACCAGGATCATGTATGTCAGAAACTATAGTTTACTGCTGAACTCATTTTGTCATGGTAAAATAACAGAAATCGAATAATAACATTTCAGTCTCCTGCCGAAGCTCAGACGCCGCGCTTTGAGAAACTGTCAATCACAGCTGTCAATCACGATGACACGCCCAGCATTAAATTACTGCTAAAAACAAACTGTTTACAAAAATGAAGATCTGCACCTATTTCAGCACAATAACCAGTGCCTTAATCGACCAGAACTATCTTTCGGGACATTTTATTGCAAGTGTAATATTTTTTTTTATTTGGGCTCAAGTCTCCTTCATTGACACGGAGGAGGCGGGCTTTATGACTTGTACTGCAACCAGCCCCCAGGGGGCGATCTAACGGCCGAAACCTTCACTCAAACGTAGGCTTGCGGCACACTTGTTTATGATGGACTATAAATGCACGTGTAAAGGACGTCATTTTTGGACTTAATCAGGACATGGTATATATTAAACTACGTGTACATTAAATCGTAAATACACGCAACCCCAAATATAAATAGACATGTTTAAATGTATACAAGCATATATTAATGCATTTTAGGACATGTTGTGCATTTGTGCCGTGCGTTCGCGACGAATTTTGGCTGTGGAAAGCACGTCGCTTTCAGACCATCAGTACACAGTTGATGCCGTCGCGGAGCGACATCTTTTGGCCGGGGAGAGCACATCGTCGTCCGACCAATGTTTACTGGGAAGCTACTGGGAGGCTGAGGCTGCGGATCGCTTGAGCTCAGGGCTTCTGGACTGCAGTGGACTATGTCGATCGGGTATCCGCACTAAGTTCGGTATCGATATGGTGCTCCCGGGTGAGCTCGGGACCGCCAGGTCGTTTAAGGAGGAGTGAACCGGCCCAGGTCGGAAACGGAGCAGTTCAAAGCTCCCGTGCCGATCAGTAGTGGGATCGTGCCTGTGAATAGACACTGCAGTTCAGCCTGAGCGACACAGAGAGATGCTTACTTTTACATTAGTTTTTTTTTTTTTTTTTACTTTGATTTGTCTTTCTAACTGTAAAACTGAAGAAATAAAGATTTAGAGATGTATGATGACTATGCAATATTAATAGTAAGTAATAATTAAAAGTTTACTAGCAGACTTCAGAAAGTTTATTTGTAAACAAAAATACAAAAATCATCTCAATTTCATGTCTATATTTTAAAAATATGCCTTAGACAGAAATATATTGAATTTAATTGAAAATATATCAAATTAAAAAATATATATAGAGAATAATTTTACTTTAAACATAAATGGCACATTATAATTTTTGACCCCATCAGAAACAAAAGTAACACACGGGTAGGTCACAACCAGATTTACTGGCTTCATCATGTTTGTTTTAATTATATCTGACTATGACATTGTTAATTATTTTTTAATACCACCTGATATTGACGGTTAAAAAGCTTCCAGTACAAAATGGCATTTTTATTGATAAATTATATTATAGAGTATTATGCCAAATGCAGTTTTAATCTAGAAAGTTTTGTTTAATAAAATAGAGGAGGGGGATATATTTAGGAAATTAATAACACTTAAAAATAGTAAAGCAACAGGGTTAGATAATATTCCAGTGCAGTTCCCTCAAAGACTCCCTAAATGCGTCACTCCGGTGGTTACACATATTATCAATTTTTCTATTTGTCAAGGTAAAGTTGAAAAAAGCAAGAGTTATTCCTCTTTTTAAGAAAGGTAGTAGGTTTGAGGTTAATAATTCTAGGCTGGTATCAATTTTGAGTGCTTTGTCAAAAGGGAGGGAAAAAGTTATTTATTAGCACATTGAAAAATATTGTTTAAAATGTGACGTATTGTAGAGTTTCAGTCGGGTTTTAGAAAAATCATTCCACTGATTCAACAGTTTCTTTTATTTAACAAATTATATAAAGAGCGATATGGATAAAGGAAGTTAAGTGGGATGGTTTTCTTAGACCTGCAAAAAGCTTTCAATACAGTCGATCACAGGATATTGATTTTAAAAGTAAAGGCAATGGGTTTTGGTGTTTTGGCCTATAAATGCATGAAGTCTTACCTTGAAAACAGATGTCAAATAGTAGATTTAAATGGTGTGTTTTCAGATTATTCGACCGTTTCTTATGGAGTTTCACAAGGCAGTGTTTTAGGTCCTTTGCTTTTTTAATATACATCAATGATTTGAAAATGGCCTGTTCAAAAAAGCTTTTGTTAAATGCGGATGATGCAGCAATAATTGTGTCTCATGAGAGGAAGGAATTTATTGAAAATGAAATAAGTAAACAAACTGAGGAAGTCTCTTAATGGTTTAACCTTAATAAATTGTCCTTACACTTGTGTAAACCAGAATTTATTTTATTTGGTTCAGCTGCGAAACTGAGAAAATGTGTCAGATCAGAGGTAAAAGTAGAGCATCAAATTAATGAACACAAACATGAAGGGAAATATTTAGGTTCCATTTCAGACAGTAATTTGACAGGTGAGAAGATGGCTGTTATAGTCCATTCAAAAGTTCTAAAATTAAGTTTTTAGCAAGACAGACAGAGCTCTTAGATTTCCAAACTTTACAAATATTGGCTAGTGCATTAGTGTGGTCATACTTTGACTATGCTGCAGTCTTTTGGTACAGCAGTAGTTCCACAAAAATGAAAAATAAATTGCAGACGGCCCAAAATAAGTTGCAGAATTGTTATCAAAGTACTTCCACTGACACATTTAAATAATGAATATTATAGTCAAATTAATTTATTAAAAGTTGGAAAAAGGGTCACTTTTCTGAAATTGGTGATGGTGTTTAAGATTTTAAAGAAAATGGTCCCAAAATATTTACTTATTAAGATTTAGTTAGTGAGGTACACTGTCATTCTACAAGAGCGAGTAGCAGGGGTATTTGTCCTTGTAGAATTAATAGTGAAACAGGTAGAAAGTCTTTTCTGTGTACTGTTGCTTGGAATATACTGCCGAGGAGTTTTAAAGAGATTCAATTTGAGAGTTTTTAGAGAGGAAATTAAAAAATGGCTGTTTTTGTTGAAGTTGAGGATTTTTGTTGTGCTGAGTTTCTGAGCTGATGATGTTTGCACTTTATGATTTGCTCGTTCATTTTTTAAGAATATCGATGACCACGATGGAAATCAGCCTGTGGCTTTATTGTGTATTTTATCCTCGACAGTTTTTAAGATATGAATGTCAAACTGGACTTGTTTGTATATTTTTGTTAAAATTGTTAAATAAAATAATTCAATCAATTTATTCCCAATTTACACAGCGGATACCCTTCCAGCTGCAACCCAGTACTGGGAAATATCCATACACCCTCATTCACACACACACACACACACACACACACACACACACACACACACACACACACACACATACACACACTATGGCTAATTTAGTTTATTCATTCACCTACAGCATAGCACATGGGTTTGGAGCACCCAGAGGAAACCCACATGAACACGGAGAGAACAAGCAAACTCCACACAGAAATGCCATCTGAACCAGTCGGGACTCCCACCAGCAGCCTTCCTACAGTAAGGCCATGTATATATATATATATAAAGATACATTATTTTTTCCCTTAATAGCTACATTTTAAAGAAATCTATTTGCTTAAGTCAGCTGAACAGTAAACAACAACATCAATAGAAACCACCAAAGGACACCATATGAACACAGCCAAAATGACTTATTAGAGCATGCACATCTTTGTCATTCCAATGGATTTTTAAAAATATGTACATGCCGCCTTTTCTTCCATGTTTCTTGAACTTTTCCCCTTTATGAGGAAAACTATTGAATTCTATAAAAGCTGTTCAGCGTTTTATTTTTTTCAGATTAACATTTAATAGACTTTAACTAAAAGTTTTAGATTGTGAGCAGGACAGCACACTGGTTCTCCCGCAGCATGTTTGTTCATCATTTCTATCTTAATGTGTTGATCATTTTCTTTTGTGTTTCTGTATTGTGTGAAGGTCAACCAGTCCACAGTTTATGCTGCTATAATCTTTATTCGGTTTTATTCTTAAACTATGTACAATATATACACTGTGCTCACGTCAGCTCCAGGTCTCTTGGGTGAAGGTCTCTCAGTGACGTGGTCTCTTCTGGTCTCCGTGCGTCTCTGGTGGAGATGGGGAGCGGGAACGTTTCCCTCTGGCGTCCTGGACTGAAGATGCTGCACCAGCTGAGGAAGAGGAGGACAGCGGCTTGGTCTGGCAGAAGGAAGGTCTCTTTTTCTTCTCAGCAGCATAGGCCTCACTGAACAGATCGAGCGCAAACACACACAAGCAGACATAATGTGAGATTTTCACAAACAATAGAACATGCTGCAATGCCAAGTACAGTTTACTCACGCGTCTATGATGGGAATGACGTATTTGCCGCTGCCGTCCATCATGACTCCCTTTCGGTTTGGGTCGTCCACCTCCAACAGGAAGCTGCGGGGAATCCCTGTGCTCCTCCGGATGCGCTTAAGCGGAGCAGAGCTGCTGCCCTGTGAATTCATGAGTGACAGTCAAACGACAGAGCAAACAATCTGACTGATGGAGACAAGAGCTCAAGTTCACAGCAACCATAAGCTTAGAAAACCCAGTTACCCCTTTAGAGGGGCAGTGCCTAATGTGGTGTCCTGGGATCCCACAGTGAAAGCAGACATAGTTGGGTGGAAGAAGCCCAAGCAGTGTCATGGCCTCACTGATGAACATCAGAACCATGAGAATCAGCTCTAACATTTCTCACAAACCAAACCTGTCAGTGTCTGAACGCTCACCTGCTGGAGTAGTAGCACAGACTGGACTGGTACATCACCGCTTTTAGCTTGTCCTCCTCTGATGCCTTTGCCTCAGCCAGATTCTCAGTCTGTTTCACAGGCATTTGCACATTAAAATTTTATTTTACTGATTTGCTCTAAATAAACACCCTCAAATCTCCCTAAGAAGCTGTGTGTGTTTGTGTGTGTGTGTTTGTGTGTATTGTTGTTGTTTGCTTTACACAGTGTATTGATATTCTGCACTACATGTCATTATGACGCCTCAAATGCAAACACTGCAGTTCAATACAGAGCAGCACAGTGGGGTGAATTAATCATTTGTTCAATACCTTCAACAGCTGCTCCAGTGAGAGGAGTGAAGAATCACCTGTTTGAGAAGATTTAGCTGATAATCCAGCTTGATGTCTGCAAAACAAAACAAAGGAGCTTGTGTGACCAAAACACCACAGACAGACTCAAACTCTTGATATAACATCTATCAGAGGAAGATTGCGCTCATTTCACATAACTTACCCAACAAATCTTCTGTTGGAGGACTTCAGTCCAGCCGCAGGGACCCGTCTGATGATGACCGATGTGTTTTTGGGGATGAGAGCATCATCATCTGTGTATTCTGACAGCAAAATAAAGTTTGAATATAGTAATAATCATTTACCATGGTATACTTTGAGTGCCATTAGCATTTTAAAACACTCAAAACATCACTATATGTCACCATCAGAGTCATGATAACACATCACAGCTTCTACAAGTCTGTCTGATAACACATCTAATGTTAGTGTAATATAGTTTAAGTGGCTTTTCCTCATCTCACCTTCATCAGTTTGGGCTTTGCTGATCTTCAGCTGGCAGAACTTCAGCCTCTCGCGCCTCATGATCTGCCGCTTCAGCTCTCCCACAGTGATGTTGAGGCCATCAAACTGGAGCGAGTCGTAGGTGAGTCGACTCTGAAACCTGTAATGAACACAAGACATACTGAACACAAACCACAGTGTGATAACAAGGGTCAAACCTGAATGATGGGAGAAGCAGACGATCAATCGATGTATCCAACAATCAATAATATCAATAATCTGGGAATCAGTTGCCACGAAGGACGCCGAGATCAGATGCCAATGACAGAGCGGAGTTCATAACAACACAAAAAGAACCGTTGCCATGGATGCTGACGATCACGTGACGAGGCGCCGAAAACTTCCGCGTTATTTTCTCATTAATAATAGTGAAATCATTACTATGATAATAATTAAATAAACAGCAGAACAGTTGGACATCTCTGAATAAAACACAGCTGCGTTTCCTTACACGAATGATTCTGGCCTTTGTAAAGAGTCGGGCGAGTCAATGAATCACGGATTCGTGGCTGAATGAATCACTCAAAGCTTCACTTGATTCAGCGGTCTCTTGCTGCCACCTATTGGCGATTTGTTTTTTCGTTTTTAAAGTAATTTAACACTTTTTTTAAAGCCACCTTCAAATTTATTTTCTACAAAAGTTTATTTCCGTGTGTTAAAAATGATTTAAAACTCTCTAATCTCATCATTTCCTGATGCGTTTATACTGTAAATCCCTTCATGTTTGCCTTTGATCTTCATTATGTGTTAAAATCAATAAAATATTAAAGTTGCCTCATCCAAATCCAAAGTTTAGTTCAAAGCTTTATTATACAGCAATGTGTGTGTGTGTGTGTGTGTGTGTGTGTGGGTGTGTGTGTGTGTGTGTGTGTGTGTGTGTGTGTGTGTGTGTGTGTGTGTGTGTGTGTGATTGTGGCAGTGGATTACAGTGAATGTAGAAGTGATCAGAAGTGTGTGATATTTATTGTCTCTGATAATCAAAAGAACATTTTAAGAGTCCAAAAGATTTACTGCCTGATGAAGCCTGTTATAATGCAATTATGATGACCCTATAAATCTAGAATGGTCAGAACAATAAAAAATTAGGGAAAGAGATTAATTAGTATTTCTCCTCTTTTTTTTTTTTGTATGTGTAAGTGCTCCTGGAAGAAAAAGTCTGCGTCTCTCTGTGTCACTCAGGCTGCACTGCAGTGTCTATTCTCAGGTGTGATCCCACTACTGATCAGCACGGGGGATTTGACCTGCTCCGTCGCCGACCTGGGCCGGTTCACCCCTCATAACACGACCTGGTGGTCCCAAGCTCCCCCAGGAGCACCATATCGATACCGAACTTAGTGTGGACACCTGATCAACATAGTCCACTGCAGTCCAGAAGCCCTGAGCTCAAGCGATCCGCAGCCTCAGCCTCCCAGTAGCTTGGATTACAGGCGCGCACCACTGAACCCGGCGAGAGCTGAGAGAATCAGAGCTGTGGAGAATCTGATCATCACAGCGACCTCTAATAGAGAAAATGATAAATGATGAAGTAAAGTTGACTTTTTATTGGTCTTATGGCACTGTTTGGATAAAAATAAACAGCAGTACGGTCCCAAATAAAATATAGTTATTTAAACTAAATACTATAGTATTTTAGAACCACATAGTAAAGTTTATTGTACTGAATAGTATAATCACAATGTTGTGCTATTTAAAGGCAACTGTGGTGCAGAGTCGGGTTGGAAGAAACTTCAAGCATTTCTGTTTTCGTGAGGTTAAGCTGAAGATGATGATCTTTCATCCAGTGTGAAATGTCCAACAGGCAGGCTGAGATGCGAGCTGGAACCGAGGGATCATCAGGGTGAAAAGAGAGGTATAGTTGGGTATCATCAGCATAGCAGTGGTAGGAGAATCCATGTTTCTGAATGACTGGTCCTAGAGATGTCGTGTAGATGGAGAAGAGAAGTGGCCCAAGAACAGAGCCTTGAGGTACCCCAGTGTTTAGATGCTGTGGGTTGGACACTTTTCCCCTCCAAGACACCCTGAATGATCTGTCAGAGAGGTAAGATCTGAACCATTGAATAACAGTGCCTGCAACCCCCAGTGACTCATTTATATATATTATATATATATATAATGATTAATACATATGGAAACAATATTTTCATAACTAAATTATTTATGATTTGCCGTTTAACAGCGAAACATCTCGTCAAATAGGCCACAGTTCATCAGGAAATGAAAATCTTTTAAATGACAACAGAAAAGCAGTTCAGCGACTAACATTCACTCATTCAGTGAGTATCTCATTTATTCATTCATTCATTCACTAATTGAATCAACACTTTTTCAGTCACTAAATATGGTGTCAGATGCAGATGTGGCCTCTAGTGTAATCCACAGTTCATATATTGCACAATGACGCTAAAGGCCATCATATTATAAAATACTGCAGGTTGTTGGTTGCAGATTAATAATCACAAACATAATTTTTTATCATAAAACAGCTAAAACATATTTAGTGTCAGAGAGGACAAAGTGGTTTTAGTTTACCTTTTATCTTTAATATTAAACAGCTTTTTAGTCTTTAGACCAGATTAAATAACTTGTGGTACTTGTATAAACAATGTTCAGCTCAGGATCAGTAATTCAGCATGATGTGCTGCTAAAGCTGAAACAGTCTATCAATTTATGCCACAGATTGTGTGAGATTCTGTCGAGTCTTATAGATGTTAAAAACACTGATGGAGGTCAAAACCGCATCTGACACCACAGTTAGTGGATGAGTAAGAGTAAACTGAATAATAAATATGTAACTCAGTTAATGATAGTTATTCACTGCATGAATGAATGTTAGATGAGGAACTGGTATTTAAGTGGAAAATTAAAACATTAAAGCTTTACTTTTTCAGAGGTTCACTGTTTGCACAATCTTAAATGGATAGTTCACCGCATAAATATGATTGTGACGATTATGAATTAACATTTTTGGGTCAATTATCCCTTAGCTCACATAAATTATCCCAGAGCATTATTTCAGCATCGATGATCATTCACAATAGTCACATCACAAGAAATACAAGGTTGAGTCTGGATTATAATTTAGCGTTTGCGTGTGTTTCTGAGGCCTGTGACTGTAAAAGCTTTAGGTCTAATAAAATGCATAATTTGTCATTTTAATTGCAAATCATTTTATTTAATTAAAAAAAATGAAGACAATAGCAGTATTATTTTACATTTCATTTTTACATTACTGTACCTGAATACTGTTTGACTCGTTGAAAAACAACAAAGCTCTGTTCATTTTATTTCAGAATTTCATATTGTATTTTTCTCTGCTCGTAGATTGTTTGTAATGTTTTATGCAGATGCACACCTAATATAAACAAATCACCCATTCTGTAATATGTTTTCTACAGCTATATGTATTATGATACAATAAACCACTTTTACTGTAGTAAAAAAAACTAAAGTATACTACAGTATTTATTACAATTTATCAGTTGATACAGAAAACAGAATGTTGTGGCACTCATAAAATGAGTTGTAAAGGCTAATAAATATGGTATAATAATCTTTAGTTCAAAAATACTATGTTGATACTAATTACTGTAATTTTTTTATTTGTGATCATACTGCTGTATATTATTATCTAATGTCATAAGGCTATGAAGTCAGTTTTTATTCATCATTCAGTTTTCCTCCACTAGAGGTCGCTGTGATGATCAGATTCTCCACAGCTCTGATTCTCTCAGCCCTCGCCGGGTTCAGTGGCGCGCGCCTGTAATCCAAGCTACAGGGAGGCTGAGGCTGCGGATCGCTTGAGCTCAGGGCTTCTGGGCTGCAGTGGACTATGTTGATCGGGTGTCCGCGTTAAGTTCGGTATCGATATGGTTCTTCTGGGGGAGCTCGGGACCACCAGGTCGTTTAAGGAGGGGTGAACCGGCCCAGGTCGGAGACGGAGCAGGTCAAATCCCCCGTGCTGATCAGTAGTGGGATCGCGCCTGTGAATAGACACTGCAGTGCAGCCTGAGCGACACAGAGAGACGCAGACTTTTACACTAGTTGTTTTTACTCTGATATATCTTTCTAACAGTAAAAAAGAAGCAATAAAGGTTTTGAGATGAATGACACAGAAATTATCTCAATTTCATGAGTATATTTTGAAAAGATGATGTTTTAGACAGAAATATGTTTTGCTGTGGTTACTAACTCATAAGTGTGGTCTATCAATATCGGGTGGTATTTAAAAAAATTATAGAAGAATTTCACTTTAGTTCTCTCCGTGTTGGTGTGGGTTTTCACTGGTTGGTCTGGTTTACCCCACAAGTCCAAAGACATGCGGTATAGGTGAATTGGGTAAGCTAAATTGTCTGTAGTGTATGGGTGTTTTCCAGTAATGGGTTGCAACATGGGAGGGCATCCTCTGCGTAAAACATATGCTGGAAAAACTGGCGGTTAATTCCGCTGTGGTGACCCCCGATTAATAAAGCGACTAAGCCGAAATGAAAATTAATGACTGAATGAATTTCACTTTAAACATAATTTACACATTGTTACTTTGAACCCATCATCTGATATTTGGCAGCTCCATCAAGGGTTCTGCATTGTGTTTTCTTTTTATTGTGGGTATAACCAGACAGGTATCAGCAGTTGTGACGGCTCTTTAATCACTCCTGATGTAAACAAAAGCAGAGATTTTACAGTGTGTCTTCGCCCTCATCACTTTTACATGCTTCAATCAGACAAATATAAATCAAAACCTCAATTAAAGTGAAAACACAAAAATAACGAACTATGTGAAATATGTGAAAAAGAAAGTTATACATAATATTGAAACATAAGAACTGGCTTCAAAAGACAAGTAAATATGATTTAAGATTAATTAGAGCTGCAGACACCCACCTCTCCCATGTGCAGTCAGTACAGAAAAGGAGGAGGCGGGTGCAGAACAGGAAATTAAAAAACTTAAGCTTTCTTAGAAATTTAAAGGAGCAGGTATACTTAATAAACACTTCAGGTAAAACACACATTTTGTGTAATTCTATAAATAAAGTGAACTATTATTTCCATACCTGTTACACAGGCCCGGATTGGCTAATCGGGAGCACCGGGAAAGTTTTTTGGCCGCGAGGGCCGGTGTCCCTAGCTGCTTGCACTCTCAGCAGTCGCACTTTTTTCATTTATTTATTTGACCATAGCCTCACTCTTTTTATTTATTTTCTCGCAGGCAGCAAAACGCAGCCGGCAGGTTAATGATGATCATTTAGCATTCGACCTTAAACAGCGGCACCTTAGTGAAAAAAAGAA